TTTATGGGTTTTTAACAAGTATAATAATGTACTTTGGATTGTGTTATATCTATCCCCAAATTTGAGTTCTATTACTTGTGATTTTGATAAGGTACAAGTTTTATTTTTGGATATGATATGAGTGTTCAATCATATTCTAGTTTTATAATGTTAAAACCTAGGATTATACTCACTAGGTTCCCCAAAGCATAACTCACTTATTGATAAACTTTTTTTTGCATATTAGTAGATCTTGTTATAAGCTTGAACATTTAGAAGACTTTTGGTTGTATTAACTTCTTAAACCTTATTTTGATATTTGTTGAGATATTATCACATGTTTTGATTTTTTTTCCAACTTAAAATTATTTTTGAACTTGTGTTTTGGGACCATTGTCCGCATCTGAACTCTAAAAAATTAGTTGGATTTAAGTTTTTGGATCGTTTTCCTCAAATTAAAACTTTGAGAATATTTTAAAAAGATTTCATTAAAAACTATTTTAAAATACTTTTAAAAGATTTTATTAAAGACTATTCATAATGCTTGTTAAAAGAGTTCGTATCAATAAGGCTAGAATCAAATAAAAAGGATGAGTAGTTGGTGGAATCGAATCAAACAATGATACTATCAACTACTAAACAAAAACCAAACAAACCTACTAAGATGTCTAATTTATGGTCACAATATTTATATATTGGATTCCCTTGCTTCACTCTCAAACTAATGTTGGTTCTAGAAGGCAAAGTCCGGTGGAAGAGTTGGAATTCTAAGGGGCTACTAGTGTCGACATGAGGATAGACGTGAGGAAATACACATAGAGTGCGTTGAGGTACTGATGATCACGATATAAATATAGCTAGGTCATATAGAAGTGACTATAGTATAAGTAACCTAGAATTGTCGATCTTTGGAATATGTGTTTGGATGGATCTACAAGGTTGAGAGATATTTTGAGACCGAGATATCCCAGTTAAGGGTACAGTAGTAGCCAAACATTTGTACAGATTATATACACACACACACACACACACACACACTAGTGGGGTACCCGCGCAATGCTGCGAGCAAATATTCGTTTCATATCGAAGAATAGTTTCTTTACGACGTTTAAATACATTGTTTATTTAATGTTAATACTACTAAATAACAATAATTCTTTACTTTTTTATGCCGTTTAGTATAACTTCATTTTTTTTTTACTATTTTACTTTATATCAGCAAGCTATTCAAGAATTATCATGATCAGTTATAGTGTGAAATCTTCGGTTTTATCATATATATATATATATAGAAACACAAACATTTACCATGAAAAGAATGTGCTTTCAATTCATAGAGACGATTACACTTGACATCTTTTATGAAGTACATGCGCAATAAAACACATTACAATTCTTTGATTAGCAACTTTCACCATTTACTGTTCTCAACTAATTATAGATATAAAGAACCCACAGAAAATATAAAGAACTACTTGAAAGAAATTGAAGTTTTTCAATGTTTCAAGTTCAAGTTGATCATACTATTCTAAATATGAAGCTAATTATGAAACTCTTTTTCATCATAAAATTTTAAACCGATTAAAATATAAAATTAAAGCACTAAATATGGATAAATATACATTATAAGAAAAAAACTATTTTAACCATACAAAGCAACTCTTCCTCATGTAATTATGTAAAAGAAATCGCTTCAGCCACAACACCACCATTTTAATGCTTAGACTACATCCTTGTGTAAACCATGAATAGGCATTAAATGTTTGTAGAAAAAGGCATCAAAACTTACCTCTGCCTTGAACCTTTTTTAACTACTTTAGATTTTTGACATCTTTGTTGTACCTATCAACCTATGAAAAAAAGGCATATGTATAAAACTGCAATGAACATGTAAAATTAGTCAGGGATTTCTTAGGGGATATGACTGCAACAATAGATTTGCACTAAAATGATCATGACATACCCGACTACAACTATCTCTTTGTATTGACCGGATAATTGACAATTCAACTCGTACAACTAATGGTAATCCGTAGCCTTTGAACCCCTACAATATTAAATACAGAGAGATAATGGTATGCTATATTAGAATACTTGGTTACTATTTAGTGACATTAACCCTAAACAAGTCGATAAAGGCATGTCTTTATTTATTGCAATTTTATAAAATAAAAAAAGTCAACATACTTTAATTCATGGATAGCAATAGCTTACTTACAATTTTATCTCTTGCTTTTACTCATAACAACAAATGACATTTCTTAACTAAAATTACAATTTACTTTACTTTTTTTGCATAAAATAACAATATACTTACATCTTAACTGATAATAACAATGCATTTTGATTATTAATTGAGAACAAATGTATATTTTATAAAGATATATAAAGGAAAAGTTACAACACTATTTGTGAACAAATTACTAAATGGAAGTAGGTTGGTATAAAACAAATAATGACTTGGTAAGATTAGAACCGAAGAAACATGAATAGTAATCCTAAATCTACACCATAAATAAACATCAATACCAAAATTTAACGATTAAAAAACATACATATGCATTCCAAATTAAACGAAAAAACATAACGAAATAACACGATTTAAAATTACCTTACATAAGATTGGAGAATAGAAGTTCTAAACCTATTATGCATAATGCCTTCGATTTCTTCACAACAAACAAACCTTAATTCCTAAATTCAACCACGAATCGACCGGAAAACTTAAAAGCATTCCAAAACATTAATCTAAACATCATAATACTGGAAGAGTCAAATAAATAGTGTTAAAGTATCCATACCTTCTTCTCTAATTACCAAAGTTAAGAGTAGTAACAACAAATTGACCAATATCTTATCATCACTGACTTCACGAACCTCCACATTAGTTACTAATTTCAAGACATCAACAACTTTGGTAATACCTATCAGGTTAAATAAGTACATGTGTAGACCTGTAGACAAATTGAGAGTATGATGTTAAAAGACATGTGCACACATATTCACACACGATATAACACATTTAAATGGGTTTCTAAAAGGGCTTACTGTCATTTCCTTTGTAGGAAGATAACTACCAACTATTTTCACGGAGATTTCACATGTAGAAAAATGGATCAACCTCTTCTTATGAAATCCCTTTTCTATTAAAACACAACATCCATCAAAATATTTAAAAAAACAGAGATGAAGTAATCTACATTTGTCTTCTTTAAGCAAGATAAAAGAGAGTGAAATGGAGGAGAAAGAATAGAACGTTCGAGATACTGAGAAAGGATAAATGGTCACCTCTTGTTAACATGGATGTTTTGAAGAATTTCAAATAGTTCAATGGAGGTGAGGACTGCAATCAACAGTGGCGTTGTAGATTTTTTAGAGATAATAGAAGTGCATGGTGGTTATAGTGGCGACAACAAACGATGGTCAGTTGTGCTAGGGTTTTAGATGGAATGTAATGTAGAGATATGTAAATGAAATTATGAGAGAAATTGAGGTTAAGTGAAAATGGAAAATGGGAAACGTGGGATCCGTTACTCTTCTTTGGCAAAGCTTAGATGTTTATACATATTGTTAATAAGGTGGTACCTCTTAAAATTCAAGAAATATCCAATATGTTTTATAATATATATATATATATATATATATATATATATATATATATATATATATATATATATATATATATATATATATATGGGGCTATGTTATAATATGGATGAACAATTATTGTGCGGAGGTGTGGACAATGCTATTATATGAGAATTAGTAAGAGAATAAGTTTTTTAATAATGTGAATACGTTCAATCTTACAAAAATATCGTCATTTTCTTGCATTCTCACTAATTCTTATTCATTTTTGTTCTCATACATCGTTTTTCACTTATTTTCATTCTGACAGAATACAGGTCAATAAACATTCTGACAACATTTTGACAGAATGAGAATAATAATAAAAAGTGTATAATAACTTTATAGACAATTTAATTATTGAGAATATTTGTTAATGATAATAGGTATGTAAGATTGAATGTATTTATATTATCAAACAACATATTTTTTTGTTGTTCTCACAGAATAGCACTGTCCACACGTCCGCACAATAAAAAAAATTAAATATAACATATTACCATAATTAAACATAAAATACATTAATTATAAGATTATGTTGGAAGTCATCATTATTTTGAACTTAACAAAATTTAGAAATTATTATTAGCTGCTATATAGGTGCTAAAATATTGGAAATTTAGAAATATGGGACGGTAAAAATGTTTAAAGGATATACTTTTAACTCATTTCCATCTAAACGACTTTAGTTGTATATTGCTGGCCATTATAGATGATTTTGGTGAATATGAAATTAGAAATAATCGACATTATCTTTTGGCAGATTTCTACTTCAAATTAACTTGGTTTTTGTAAATTTGGTAATTCAATGAATTAAAAGTTCAATCTTTTACAAACATATATAATACGATCGATATTTTAATCTTGTTAAATGTGAATTAAGTTTTTTTTTAGTAACACTGGCATTAGAGGCTATCTTTGCAATTATTTTTCTTGTTATAAGTAAAAAAAAAGGTTAGTGTGTTTCTAAATTTACTAAAACCCATATCAAATGGTGCCACATAATATGACAATTTTTTTTTTCTTTTTTTTTTTAGAAACGTACAACATGAATCAAAATGTAAGAATTATCACACTTTGGATATGACATACAACCAGGAAGCTAAAACCCGACTCTTTCCCATCTAAGAGGCCTGATGCAACCATGCTATTTATTTATTTTAATATATGATATGATGTTATATAAAAGACATTGTGCTAGTGGATCAATAAATCCAAAGTTTATTTGATTTTAACAAAGTGATGCGATAAGACTTTATATAAACCACATCTAAAACTAGTAAAACATTCATTAATATTTCTACTAAAATAAAAGCTTTAGATTAAAACAAGTTCCGGTCTCGACCGCCATATATTCATTCTAAACAATTTTTTTAGGTAGTAAATCAAACTTTTTATATGTCCTCATCTTCCGCTTCAATCACCAAACTTTGACTACAGCTCGATTGGCCTAACTCGTTCGTTTTCAGATTTTGTGTACCTTTGCCTTTGTTATTATTTGTCTCCTTACTCATATGTGCACCACGCACATGATGGTATTGATCAAATGTTGATTTGATCGCGTTTGCCATCGTTTGAATGATTCTTTTTTGGTCGGACAATGTATTATCAACGTATTCTTTGAACTTACTTAGTTCAAGATCAAGTTCCTTAGATTCACGCTCAAGTTTTTGTATTTCACACATCATTTTATCCACCACAGATTTATTTCCTTTGCTTCTCCTTTTAATATTGTTTAGTAAGTGTCGTTTTCCTTTTTGAAACGATTCATGTGCATACTCACGACGATCCCAAGAGATCTTTTTGAAACCCTAGTTCATAAATTCAAAAGAAAAAAATAATTTATTGTTACATTAACTCAAAACGAAAAACATTTGTATATAGCTTATCAGATTTAAGTGTAATTCAAGAATTTAAGATCTTACATAATTGTTGAGTTGAGTAACAAAACTATCAAAATTATTACTTTTTGACATCGTGGGGAGGAGGTTGATGATAAAGTCTTGTTCATTCCATATAACGAAACCTGTATCACCAACCCATGAAATCGTGGAGTCCATTGCTTCGTTACTCACCATATCATAAAGTTTTGTCACAAAAGGAGGTAGACTCCCATTGCGGACACCCTTAATCAATTCGTTAGTATTGCTAGAACCCTCACTAATATCACTAACAATCTCAATGTCCTCAACCTCAATATGCTCCATTAGGAGAACCACGGTTTATGTTGAACACGACTTTTTATATGGAAAATAACACACTTAAGAAGAACTCACACTTTGAGAGACTATTAGTGTTTATTGGATGGTTTGGAGCAAATAAGCTTCACACATATTTATAGGCCTCTAAAGAAGTTTCTAGATGCTAGTATACACTTGGTATTTACATGATAACTCTAGAACTATCTATCATGTTCTATAAGCTTCTATATATTTCTAAAACATTTTATCATGTTGTAGAGAGGTCTATGATGCTCTAATGTCTTCTAGAATATTTTATAGGACAAATTACACGAATGGTCCCTGTGGTTTGGGTAATTTACGCGTTTGGTCCCTAACTTATTTTTCTAACTCGGATCATCCCTACTGTTTGTTTTTGTTTCCCGCGCGGTCCCTTTCTAACATTAAAAGACTATTTTGCCCTTACTGATTTTTTTATAATTTATTTATTTTACATAATTACTTATATAATTATTAATATCTAATGATCCCATCCTGTTTATTCCTTTACCAAAATCACCCCTCATGCGCTTCTTCCATGTGATTACTTTTTGCTCGATAATTTCCATTCGACAACTACGTCTTCTTCGGGTAAACCGCCACCAAATACAATCAAATCAAATCAAATACAATTTAATCAAAGATACAACCAAATCTTAAACCTCTGTAATCAAATCTGATGAAGCTCGTGAAACCATCATCAACGAAATCAGAAATTTTGGTTTTCTTCTTGATAAATGTAATAAAAAACCTGAATCAAATCCATTCCCAATATATGAAATTTCCATGAAATCTAACCCGATTTCATGGATGTGCAACTCAGTCCTGATCTCTTGGATCTACAACTCTTATCCCAATCTCCCCTGAGAATCAATTTTAGATGGTAAATCAATGCCAGTGACCATAGAAATTTTCAAGAAAAAAACCTGATGCTAGCAGTGAGGGAGAGTCGACCGAAGTTTGGAAGAAAAGGAGATTGTTACCTTGAATCTCTGATTTTAGATGACAAATCCTTGAATTGGTGATTGTGCAGTTTGATTTTTCAAATTGTTTTTTTGGGGTTTTGGTATCGATGTTATTTGAGAGAGAAAGGATGGTCTGAATTTGGAACAGAGGTTGAGGGGTGAAGATGTCAAGCATTGGGCGGCAGTGGGAGCGTCGACAAAGATGGACCTGCATGTCGTTGATGATCTAGTGGAAAGGATATGAAAGATCGGTAGGGTCTCTTTTCCGGTCTGTAGTAGCGGCGGCCGGTGTCCCTTTTGTAGGTTGTAGCAACGACGACAGAGGATTGGTGATAACAGATGGTCATCGGCCATTGGAAAGAACAAGAAAGCATCATCGATTTGGATTTGCAAGGGGAAGAGATACAGAGATACATGAAGTGGAAAACGAGAAGGAGATGAAAAAGGTGAAAGAGGAGGGTTGTGGGTGGGATAACGTTAGGTTTTGTTTATTTAATAATATAAATAAATAAAACATAATAAATTTTATTAAAAAAATTAACGAGGGCATAATAGTTTTTTAGGTTAGATAGGGACCAACCGGGAAACAAAAACAAACAGTAGGAACAGTCCGAGTTAGAAAAATAAGTTAGGGACCAAACGCGCAAATCACCCCAAATCATAGGGACCATTCGTGTAATTTGTCCTATTTTATAACATTTCAGGGTCTTCTATACCATTCTAAAGTATTCTCGAATCTTCCAGTATATTCTAGAATCTTTCATTGTTTTCTATAATGTTCTAGAATCTTCTAGAACATTCTAAAACAAACAAATTTATTGTAGATAATAATATTGGTTTTATTGGGGTAGTGATATCTTTAATAGTTTTTGTATACAAAAATTTGTATTTTCTATTCAATTTATAAAGGCAAATGTGGTGAGATTTTGGTGGGTTTATCACACTTATCTTCAAGTGTTGTGTGTGAGGTACAAATTGATTAAGGCGAGAAATTCATGGGCCGTATACTTTCCAGAACCATAATATATTGAAATAACTAAAAACCAACTTTAATTATAAGATGCTTTGTTTATTTTGAATATAAATTTATTTCATAGGGTTTTAAAAGTTGGTTTTATAAAAGAGAGCACAGTGCATTAAATAAGTAATAATTAAGTTATAATAGTTAAGTTTCTTATTTGATTATATAATTGTATCATAGTTTTAAACGCTGATTTTTAAATTATGTCTTAAATTTTAAACTGATAAAAAAAATGTTGGAGCCCCAAATATGGGCTACAATGTGGAATGATGAGCAACGAGTCATATAGTCAAGTTGTTTATGACAAGTAAAACTGGCCGAGTTGAAAAAAATTGTTCACTTTTTTTTTTTTTTTTTTTTAGTTTCATAAATAATTATATTGTACATATTACGGATTAATACAATAACAATGTTTTTTTTTCAAGAAACAATCTTCGAACAATTGTGTATATTTTGGGGGACTGTAAACCTTTCGTTCGATTTAACGTCTTAATTTGAAAATGACTTTTTCATTTTAATGGTTTAACTCGTTACGATTAAAACAGATTACAAATTGGTATGTGTATTATAATTAAGTTTAAATCAACAGTGTATCAAGAGCAATTTCTAATGTAGATTACATATTCATATGATGTATAAAAAATAAATGCTTATCAACATGGATGAACATCGGAACTGGGTATCTGTTTTTGGAATCGGAACCGTTTCGGAACTGTCGGTTTTGGAACTGGAACCGTCTTAAACAGTTCCGGTTCCGGTTCCTAAATTCATGGAACCACCTTAAGTGGTTCCGGTTCCGGTTCTCGGTTTTTCGCAACCGCTACCCGCTGGGTATCTACCGGAACCGGTTTATATATATGTATATGATTCCCTATAAGTATGTGTGTTACTTAGACCGGTTTAGAATATATATATATATATATATATATATATATATATATATATATATATATATATATATATATTGGTTCAATTTTGTCCGTCTTTGGTCCGAATTGACTTTATTTGGATCGAACTAAATTGCGGTTTTATCTACAAAAGTTAACAAAATTAATGTAACAAGGTTACCTGCTCCCGGAACCAGAACCGCCGATTCCGAGACTGGTTCCAACCATTTAAGAACGGCTTAAAGCGGTTCTGGTTCCGGTTATAACTTTCTAGGAACTACCAGTTCCGGTTCCGGTTCTCACCAAATGAGGCGGGTACCCGCCTATAATCAACCCTAGTTATCAAGTCACACATGCAAGGTATTTTTCAGAGCGATATATTTTAGACTAAATTGCAAAAATGGTTCTTATGGTATGCATTTTTTGGGAGTTATAGTCCAAACCACGACCTTTTTAGATTTGTGGTTATTTTGAGCTAGTTTCCTTGCACTTTTGGTCATTGTTCAAACTAAAAAGACGATTATACCCTTAATGAATTTAATTTTCATTTTTCTTTCACTTTCTAAAATTATTATTATTCTTAAATATAAAATTAGGCCCACATGTCCTCTCTCTCTCTCTCTCTCTCTCTCTCTCTCCACACATTAAAACCAAGACTCCATATCCATGATTCCATCATCGTCTTTCTCAATCGACTTCGTGAAAAAGTTCCTTGAAATCCTCAAAAAATTGATTTTGCAAACCAAATCTTTGAAACTCAATTAAAAACAAGCACAAACCCACACTAGATTTTTGTCCATGAATCTAATCTCCTTGATCCCACCATCTTCTCTCACAATCTTCTCGCCCTTTCCATTCCAGATTCAGGTGAGCATAATGTTTCACCTCCGATGATGGCCTCTACGTCACACATTTCTCCATCTTCACTTCTAGAAACACCACACGTGACTCTTCTTCCCTTCATTTTGTCATCTCCGACCATAGCAACCCTTTAGCACTGACGACCTTGAACACAATGAAACTCCATCGTCCCAGTTTTGATTATCTGAAAAATTAAAACATCACAAAATATGAAACTAGTTTGGATTATTTGAAAATCAAAACATCTAGAATCTAGAATATAAACTATGAATGGGGTTTGATTATCTGTAAATGAAAACATCACAAAATCAAAAACCCAAACTAGGCTTCAAAATTGAAATCCAAACGAGGGTGTGGATCTAGAATCTGAAACGACTTAGGTTTTCTGATGAAGATTTTCAATGATGTCTGAGGAAGAAATCAGAAAGATGATACAGTCGATAGTTACGATATACGATCAATAAACCCAATTGAAATACACCTATGGATGCTTATAGGAATTTCCTCACGAACAACTTTGGCATCGTTGTAATAAAAATCGAAATTAGATAGGTGCTTCTTTAAGTTTGAGCTGAGTTTGTTTAAGTTAATGATTTCAAGATTTGGGTGTGGATCAGGGATTAGAGAAGAGTCGTTGGAAATGAGATGATAAGGTGAAGCTTATCGATGATGATGGTTCTGATGAATTTGCCATGGATTAAAATCAAATTCTCAACGTAGAAATGACAAAGATCATATTAAAAAAAGAATTTAGGGAGGTTTTATGGCTAAAAAAGTAAGAGCTCAATTCCTAACGAGAGAGAGAGGTGGACCCTATAATTTTTATTTATAAAACTTTAAACTAAATATCAAAAACCATACAAAATATATCGGAAGGACATTTTAGTTTTTTCAATTTTCTAGGGGACCGAAAGTGCAAGGAAACTAGTTCAAAAGGACAATCAATCTAAAAAAATCATGGTTTGAACTAGAACCCCCAAAAAATGCATACCATAAGGATCATTTTTGCAATTTTGTCTATATTTAATTAAAAGTCACCAAGAAGCTGACCAGCAGGTGATATCAAGTCTGTTATCATCTTATAAAATTCTTTATTTGAAAAAAAAAACAAAATTACATAAATGGTTTCTATGATTTACCAAAAATTACAAGTTTGGTCCTTGCAAATTTTTATTGACAAACTCGGTCCATGTGGTTACTAAAACTTGCATTGATGGTCCTTAAGCCACATAAATTGACATTTTTTACCCTTTTAATTTTTTTTATATTTTATCTTAATTATATTTTACCTAAAAAGGAAACAAAAGAAAAAAAATACCCCACCCCATCCTACTCGTACCCGCTACCCCCTTCCCCCTCCCCACTCATCTCTCATTCTTTTTTTACATAATCTTGTTAACCTATCCCGTCAAAATCTATTCTTCCTCTTTTTCTAATACTAGACAAATGTTCGTACGTTGTGCAGAAACACCTATATAGTTAAAGTTTATATATATATATATATATATATATATATATATATAGCAATAATGTTGTTACATTTGATATAATAATTCGTATACTAAATTGATATAATGTATTGATTATTTTGAATTATATGATAATATATACATCTATTTACTTAAATATTTTCGACATCACCCTATATAACATATGATCAATATATTAATGATTAAACCACAATATACAACGAGTGGATTACAATCATCCAAAAACGAAGAAAATATAAAAACGAATTAGTATAACAAACTTACAAATTAAAACTCTAATATAATAGTATATCTCCAAAAGTGGTCATAAGATCTTAACCTAACACAAAAACATTTAAGTTTGTTTTCTTTCTGAAATTTATATATGATTTGTATGCATGTCTTCCCAAAAGATTGACTTTTTTATAGAAATTTTTTCACTAAATGCTAATTAAACATATTATAAGTTATAAAACCTTTGAGTGTTAAATCATAATTAAGAAAACTATTGAGTTGCATTGGTTAAAAAATGGGGTTTTAAATGAATGTGGTTTGAGGAAGTTAAAAAAAAAAAAAAGGTTTCAAATGCATGAGATTCAAGAAAAAAAATGTTAGTTTTATAAGTATGTATGATAAGGGAGATTGAGACCTCCGTGTGAATCTCCACCACTGCTCAAATATGTACAATGGGAAGAAAGTGATGGTAGTAGAAGAAGATAATTGGAGTAACATTTGGTGTGTTAAACAACCTCATCTCCACCATTGAATCACCCACCTTAATCATTGATGGTAACGTGGAGCTTGAGATCGAAGCACTTGAGAGGCTTAAAAGGTTTGTTTCAAAGTCTCAAGCCTAACCTCATAAAGAACGAAACAATGGTAGCAACATATATGGTGTAAATTTTTATTGCAAAATCTCCCATGCTTGCAATGGAATACCTTTCCCCTCATTCCATGTTTGATGAGTTAAAGAAATCTGCTTTCAGGTATATATATATATATATATATATATATATATATATATATATATATATATATATATATATATATATATATATATAATTTAGCCACACCAAATGCCATGTCCAATAGGGTTGTGCATGGGTGGGTTTTTGGACCCAAAACCAACCCAACCCGTAAATGGTCGGTTTCTGGTTTTCAGAACTCAGTAGGATCAGTTTCTGGTTGATTCGGTTTCTCGGGTTCTGAGGTCGGTTTGGCCGGTTTTTTGGTTTCTTGGTTTCTTGGGTTCAACCCATACACTCACGAGTTCTGGGTTTAAACCCATGGGTTTTGGGTTTTAACCCATTTTCCATAAATCAAGCAACAAGTTAAATACTTCAAAAAACACCAAATTTAAGTTAAATACTTCACCCCTATACCCTCAAAACTTCGAGTTCTTTACCATTAGCACCCACAATGCATAATTCAATAGAAGAGGTGAATGAGGTGGTATGCCTAATTGACATTCAATGAATTAAACTCTACAATTATGGGATGTCATGTTAACATTCAATGTATATGGGTTTAATGGTTATTGAACTCTTCAATGAGAAAAATGAAACATTTTAACTATTAAATATATATATATTCCATTGAACTCTATTCAATGCATTGCATGAAAATTAATATAAAGTTGTATAGTAAGTAAAATGATGATGTGTTAATTTATTAAACTCTAATAAGTTTAATGCATAATGGATACCCTTACAAAACATTTTTCTTTATAAATTTGAACTTGAAATGTCCGAAACAAAGAGCCCCTAAAATCCTAACAACTAAACCCTAAAACATATGAACTAAAAGATATTAAAAGCATTTTTTGGATCTTAAACAATGTTATTTAGAATAAAAGCTTGAATTACCATTTCCCGAATATGTTTTTCCAAGAAAAAAACTTTCAAAAAAAAAAAAAAAAAAAAACTAATGACAAAGGTATTTTGCCATTTTAGCCATGTTAAAAAAAGTGAATTACCTTCTTTGAAGTTATTAAATTGTTAAGAACTTTTTTATTACGGCAAAGAAACTGAGATGTCATTTGCATACATTATTTTTAATCAAAAGTAATTAAATATTGTCTTTTCCTTCTCCGTTACCTAAAATTCATATTCAACCAACACCTAGTGCTTGTTTCCTTTTATGTGTCATATGTTTTTCCCTCCAAATACATATAAAATATACTTGTACCTACTGCAATAAAAACGGTACCCTACACTTTCCATCGGAAATCATTATTCAACAAAACAAAGCACCACCACCAAACCTTTTTATTAAATCAAGAAAGAACCCCCCAACAAAACTATTGGTTGTATATTCCTAACTCTTTTTACACTAAATGTACAAACCCCTAAATCACTCACTCATCTTCAATAAAATATTGAAGGACCAAAGTACAACTCATAATAGCACATATAACACACTACAAACAAATGTATACCCAAAACCTATCTACAAAAAACCCTAAACACATCATTGTCAAAACCGAAGGATCTCGATGCACCATTGTTGTTTTTTACGATACTATCTGCATAAATAAGTTATTAGTTGGCTGCTATTTGTGTCATTGTTATTCGTCTGATGGGTACGAAGCAAACAAGGACACAGTAATAGCAGCCAGGTTTTTTTTCGTCAGGCGAGAACGAGAAACCCTAGATTGTTTTGGAGCATTTGGAGCTTCAATTTCGTCAAAATCTCTTGATGGGAATTCCTCTAGATTCAATGAACACCTAAAAGCGGGGATCTTTTTAGGTGTACTATATTCAAAATGCAATTTTTTTGCAATCAAAGCCTGCATTTTGTATAAAAAAAAAATTAGCAACACTTTTTCGGTTTTTGTTGCAAAAAATATCATAAATTATAAAATAAACAACTTACAGCTTCTCGGATCGGTTTTGATACGTGGAAAAGCCTCTTCAAATCATCATGATCCACCCCACACAATATCTTTATCTGTTCAAAATTTAGAAGTCACAAAATCAATAAAAGTTCACACACAAACACCATAACTGTGTGTAAAAAAACCGATCATGTTAACAAATTATAATCTATTTTCTTCACACTTTCGTCAAAAAGATGATCGATTTGCATTAAATTAAAAAAAAATCACATACATGTGTAATTTGCAACAAATCAGCAGAATTTCATATACATACATCATTAATGTGGTAAAAACAACCGTTTTGCTGATCAAACCATCTCTTTTTCGTTAAAGAATCAATCATTCTTTTGAATTATACTGAATGTTATTTACATTTTAATCAAAAAGATGATTAATTTGCAACAGAAAGCTTCTAAATTGATCAAGAAACAGCACAAACGGATTGAAATTTAAGAACTCACCAAGATTTCTTGAGGCAGAGCTTCAAGCAACGATCTTTCATAACAAAAGAGAGATTCACTTCCCAAAAACTGCTTCTTTTTGGGTGTAGCAACTTCAATTGAATCAAAATCCATATGATTCAAAATCAAGATTCTTTTTCTACCAAATGAACTCGTACGTCTTACAAGCCCTAACCCTTGATTGTTCACCATTGACATTTTGTTCCTGATATTACCATCGTATAAAATTAGTCAAAATAAACAAAACCCAGATCGAGTATACCAAAAAGAACAGAAACCCAGATGTGGGTTGAACAGAAATGATGAAATTAAGTACCTTTTTGGATTGGGAAATAAACCCTAATTTCTTGGAAGGAGTAAAGTGGGATTGATATAACGGTTGTTCTTGAGAAGGAAACAAGAGCAGATTTTGTATATGGAAGCTATATATCGTGGTAGTGTTCGATTCTAAATTGGAAGTTGTTTATATAGTGAGAGAGAGAGAGAGAGAGAGAGAGATTGGGTTTGTTTTGTATTTAATTTTAAATTTTTAAAATTTTAAGGAATAGTGTCCACTTGAAATCAACTTTTAAACTCCAATATTTCCTCGAAAGCACTCGAAGTTTCCGATATTTCAGTTTTTTGTATGATTTTTTTATTCAAAAGCTTTGAGTTATAAGCATATACGTATTAATAATTTAATATAAAGAATGTATTAATATAAAGAAAAAAGGTGTATATATGTAGAACATTATTAAGATTATATGATTAAATCAGAGCATTAAACTACATAATTTGCTAAACACAACTATCAATTGATGGAATATGATAGGCATATAACAAAAACACATGTGACATATATCAAATTACAAAATTCATACTACCACATCAAAACGATAGTAGAGCCACAATTTTATGCAACATGTCATGTATGTATGCATAAAGTTAATAAGTTTGATTTATTTAGTTAAAAAAAAGTATCTAAGTGGGTAATTATTGTTGTAGTAAATATTTATAACTCGTAAGTGGTAAGTTTAATTTGTTCTAAAGACAGTATATCAATTTATTGAAACTCTTGTTTTAAACAAAAAAAAAAGGTCAAAGTATTAATTAATTAAATGAAAAATGGTCACACGTGGTAAGATTGAACTAGCCGTTGCCGGGGGCGGCGACACGGTTTTAAGAAAATTTTGTGGCAGGAGACGACGTGGATGGATGGTGGCGCTGACGTGCCTGATTTGGTTGACCAATATTTAAATTTGATATTAATCCAATATAAACTGCTAATAAATTAACTATTATTATATTTACTTTTAACCATGTAAACTTAAAAAGTTATATATAAAACTAGAACGAAATTTATGATTATAGTAATAACATCTAGAGATTGAGTCAATGTCAAATATTTTTACATCACTATTTACATTATGATTGATAATTAGTTATTAATATTTTGTAATAGTTGCTTAATTAATTTTTGTTAATAAACTTTATATATTTAAGTAACTGAAAATCTAAAAGAATTATATATACTTTTAAGTTTTAATTGTGTAGAGAAGTGGGTGGGGTAGGTTACCATACGTGTATATCCAATGAGGAATCTCCAAGTGGATGGGTTTTACAAAACAAAGTGGTCGACCGCATAACAAATATTGCTTATTTTATGCATTTCACAAGAATAACTTTAGATCTGTTTTATTATTTTGTATAAGTTCTTTTAGATGGATAAGAGAATATATATGGATGTGTGTTTTGAAAGTTTGTGATAGTATACAATAATTATTCTTTATGACGTTGGGTAGTTTGCATAGTTATATCGAAGATCAAAGACGCTTAGACAAATTATGTAACCAAAATAAAAACAAAATAATGTTTATGTAAAACAAAAGCATACATTCAAATTAATTTAGAAACCATTACTAATCTCATATAACCTAATTAAAAGTGAGATTACAATAAAAAATATTGATGTAAAACAAAATCAAACATTCCTTATTTAGTTCTTGATCTTCGAGTTGACAATTAAACTCTCCGAATGTTCGTACAGTACAATATATAATGTTTTGGGGCTAATAAAACCATTTTCTTAAATGAAAAACATCAACTAAATAGAAAAATAATATCGATACATAGCATCAATTAAAATTTTGGGCCCTTGTGAGAGATGAGCTCTAGGCAGTCGCAAATGTTACCCACCATCTAAGACGTGCCTAAGAAAACCCAAATACATGTATTATCTCTATATTTATACACATAGTCATATTTAAAATGGATAAGTGTCAGAAGTGGTAGTTTTAGAAAAATCTAACCTAGTACCATGTTTATGATAACATGCCCTGGTAGTTCGACAACAATAAGTACAGAGCAATCGGGGTAGCTATTGATCATCGTCAATAGTTACTACATCAATAGCCATTGATATGTAACCATGTTGATCTTACAATGTTTAGTAAAAATAACTAGTTATCATATCAATAACTTCTATCGGTGTCGTTATTTATGTTTATCATTACCCGTTGGACTTTGTATTCTTAAAATACATGTATGTTTTAGTGTGTTGCCCCTTACTCCACAAGGAGATGTGGCTTTCATGATCCTGCCATTCAGTCATGTTTGAGGTCAAACTAGCCCACATGTGTGTGCCATGTGCTCCTTCTAACATGTACATGTACTTTGAGCTTAACTAATGATCTCATTTGGTGTTTGTGTAAATTTATAATGCTATGGGGAGTGTTGTGGAGTTTCAGGAATGCTTTGATTTTCGGTAATGATAAATATAAGAAGGAAGCCATTTTTATTCTATCGTTGAGTTGTTGTTGTTCATTTCTTCATTTTTTTCTCATAAAATTTTAAAAATCACCGTAACAAGAAATAAAAAATACAACATTTTAAAACTCAAATAAAATTACATGTAAATTAAGAAAGACAGAACACAAGTTATTATTCACTGGCATAACTAGCAAAATAAGAAATTGCAAACAGCTACACTTGACATCTCACTTTATCATTTAACCATAAACTATGAAATAGTACAAACAAATCATTAAAAATCACACTTTTGTAGAGTTGCATTGTAAAGTTGCATACATTAGGCTATTGTTCTGTTCACTTTTTTTTGTGGCTTACAAATACTTAATGGACAACTCACGTATACATAATACAATTAGTTATTATTATTATTATTGAACATTCTTAACCACAATAATGGAGTGGATTTAATTTATTTTGGTTTTTTTTTTTATGTCGTTACTTGAAGGCTTTAGTAGCCAGCCATGAATCATGATAGATATATAATTTCGTATATACTATTAAACAAGTGGGTTAGATGCTTCACTAAATAATTAGCGGAGAACATCGTTTATCCCTAATCATTGTCTTTGTTGATCTAACAAGCACATATTTACTTTCACGTATAAGAAGATTATAAGGAAAATTTCCATGGTTTTTTCAAAACAGTTATTTTTCTTTGAAATATATAGATTTATTTTCTTTTAATAGCAGTTGGTGTCTTTCATTTACTTGATGGAAGTAATTGTAAGTATTTATATGTGACAAACTGATTTTCTTACTTTTTCGTGTTTGAATCGATAAGAAAATGAATGAGACAAAATTGATTTATGTAAATTAACCAACATTAAACCCAACTTTAACTGGTTCTTATCACTTTAAGCTCATTTTTTTTTGCTATAAATGATATACTAACATTTTGTTATACTTGCTAACACAATTATGCAACCATATAAGCTCTCATTATCGACTTAGACATTGATTTCAAGTCACATACTACAATTAGCTTTCACAAATCAACATGCATACACTAATACATGTGCATACATACATACATACATACATACTAACATAGATACATACACGTATATTTAATGCAGATATGATAGTACCCAAACAAATATTAAAAGAGGTGAAATGGTTGACCAGCGTAGAAATTGATGTTCTAGTTGACAAGTTGTTGACCTATTCATGAAATTCAGCTAACACTTAAAATATTGTCCACGTCATCTTTGTATAATTAACATTCTCACCGTCAAACCTCTCAGATCCACGAGTATATTAATTAAATTAAACAATTTATAAAGTATAAGCCACATGTATATATCACATTTGACGTGTTTTAAATTATGACCTCACGTTTAATATTCGGTTTATTCATTGTATGGCTCACAAATAGAGACACCCCACACTGAGATGGTATTTTAATAATTTTTTTCATATGAAAGTATTGGAAAAATAAATAAATATAAAGTGTAAGACTAACAAAATAAGCATCGAAAAAAAAGTATAAAAAAATTTCAAATTTGACATGCACGTAGTTAATTATTCACTGCATTTAGTTAATTGTTAGGTGAATATATGTTCTATACAATATGAAAATTTGTACATTAAGTAGGTATGTTTATAGATAGTTATAGTTGCGATTTTAATAATTTACCATCAACTTTTAATGTCCCAAAGTAAAAAATTATATCGAAAATTACAAATGTGGTTTATAGTCTAGAGAACTTTAAAGATATTATAAAAGATTCACCAAAAAGACATATATTAGTCCATTAGACAGTCTTTAATAAAAACCAACTGCTTCTTATTCACCTCTTCATCACTTCACCGCTAACATTACTGAAATTAAACAGTTATCAAATATCTCCTTATATTGACAACAACCAAATCTAATGGGTTTATGACCCTTAGTATGAAGAGTGTCTAGAACTTTTGGAATCAAAGTTTCAATATAAAAATTACATCATACTAGAAGCACTATCTCGTAATTCAGAATTTACCAAATCATCAAAACCCTCAAAATTAAACAAATAATTGAATAATTTAAATGATATCGATGATCCTACCATCTTTTCTAATTATGCCACTTTGTTACGCCTGACAAATTAAGACACAACAGAACAGGTTGTACATGGACATTGTACCGGATAGATTCGATGATGTCAATAGAAAAATAATTATAACTACTTTGATTCAATCCAAAAAGACGAGACAAGAACTTGCACTTTGATTTACGGGTGTCAAACCGGGACCCACATTACGAATTTTCTTGATCAAGTTGACCATTTGAGTCTCCAAGGGACGTGTTTGCAGCATAATCCTCAGCTGAATACACCGAGAAACCCCAAACTGAAGCACAATTCTCATCATCTACAAACAACCAAACGAGCAAAATTAACAACATTCTTAATATAATGAAGAGAGGTGGGACCCAGTAGGAACGGAATATGTATATACCTCGTAAAGTCAAACTCAATTCTTCATCAGACTCATCAAGACCTACGAATCTACGGTGCCCTGATGACGTGGCAGCCATTGGCAAAAACGGATGGAAAGAAAAACCACTAACAGTATCTGCATCAAATACATATAATTAACTTCTGTCTGTATTAAGTGTTATCTGGATAAATAATGTTTTATTTATTTTTCTTTTTTTTTGGAGAAAAGTAGTACCTGATGCAGCTTGAAAGCTGGATACCCATTGACCCGTTTGAAGATCATACATATGTACCAAACCATCCTAGAATTACAATATTTTTTATAATATAATTATATTCTGAAAAGCATTATAAAATGAAAATGAAATTTAATCATAAAAATATAAAAATTACCTGTCCACCAGTTCCAAGATATCGACCGTATGGCTCTGTGTCAAACTGTATCCGTTGATTGGTGGATTCCGTTGATCTATATAACCTAAATTCAAATAAATAAATAAATTATTATTCAGAAAACACTTTATCCATACAGACAACACTTAAAGAGAATAAAAGACAAGGTGTTATTACTTGTATACAATTTCAACCGTATTGCGTATATCCCAACAAAGTATATATGGATCCTACAAAAAAAAAAAAAAAACAATTACTTTAATAAAATTACCTAATTAAAAAATAAATAGAAATTTAATTGCATTAAAATGGTCAAAAAGGGTAGGTTAGATGTAGACAACATCATATTCATACCTTTCGTCCCCCGGTGTAAAGATAGTTCCCATCTTTGGAGAATTGAACCTAGGGGTAAAACGGTCATTTTTTTTTAACCACGATTAGATATAAACATGCATATATAGATAGCTGGCTTACTTACATGTGTTACCCCTCCTTCTTGACCATGTAGGACATATAAAAGTTCCATATTGTCTTCCCTATGTATTGCTGTAGTTTGACTATAAGACCCTGTAGCAAGCATCCCTGTATGACTTGGAGAAAAGGCAATTGATGATATGATACCTGAATGCAAGAAAGAAAGTTCATACTTCATACTTCATACTTCATATTATTAGTGAAATACCCAAAATACCCTTGTAATTAACCACACCAACCTGATTGTCCTTCCTTGTTTCCTTGGATGGTTGAATGTTGTTGGAAATCTCTACCAGGACGATGAATATCAAATATCCTGATGGATTTGTTGTAGCCAGCAAATATCCTGAAACAAATAAGTTAATATTTATATAGCAATGTATTTTAATTCATTTCTTTTTCTTATTAAGAAATTCTACTCTGTAAGTCTGCCTGATTATGGCATTGTAGATTTTTTAAAGTAACAGAAAGGAAAGTAGGATGATATAATAAACAAATATAATAAAGATGAAAGAAAATGTGTTGTAGTCTTTTTAAGATAGTATAAGCTTACTTTGTTCCTGTGGGGTTGAAACCGATTGAGAAGGCAGCAGTTATTTCATCCATGGCATCATATGCTCGATATGTGCAACGTAGCTGTAATTCCATGTTGAATCGATCAAGTGTTAATAAATTAACAGTTTAACACCACGATTATTATCCATGACATGAATAATAATAATGACTAATATAAAGATTCAGTGATATAAATCAAGACCAAAGGCCAAAGCACATGCTATATTCAATTTGGGGCATTTAGTTAAGAATGAAGATTAAAGAATATGATGAAGCACCTGTCCTGTGCTAGTATCCCAAAGATGAATAGGATGATCACGAGTGGTGGTTGCAAACACACAAGAGACTGGATCTACAATACAATCAGTGTAACATAATTCTTGTTAACTGCTGATTTACATGCTAAGTATCTTTGGATAATCTACTAATAATGAAAGAAAAAGGATATCAACAAAAGAACCTGAAGCAGACATGTAAGGGTACCAACAGTAATCATATATGGCTTCTCCCTCAGTCAAAGCAAGGCTTGCAGGAAATGAATCTGCAAATCAGAAGTATGATGAGAAGATAAATTAAGAAAGGTTTAGTTTTAGTTGTCGGGTAAAAAGAAAACTAACCTTCAATAGCAGCTGAAGAACAAGAGTTTTCGTCTGTACAGTTGTCATAATCTGGTCTGTAAAAGAAAAAAGAGAATGATTCCAATTGTATACAGATTATTCAACCTTTGGAGAACACTTGCAGCTTCTAATTCAGAAAGCACAAAAACAACATAAATGGTAGAATTGATAATAGAAGTTGCTTACAATGTGAATAAACTAAGAGTATTGTCATCAGAGCTCGTCAGAAAGCACGAACCATCCGGCGACCTACAGAACCAGCATTAATCACCATAAGCAACGCATAAACACGGGAAAGTGATACGATTGAAACGAAAACATCCACTGTATCAACTCTATCTTAGCATTAAACTCCAATTTGGTAACAATAGATGGTAATTTTACCATTTAACGCCCTTGAGGAAGTTATTAGGGTTAGACGAGGCTCTGAAATGTCTGGAAAAATGGTAGGTTTTGTGAGGAGGAATATCAAAACGAATCGCCGGCGGCCAAGAGGAATAGTCAGACTGATCGTCGGTCGTCGGTTGTTCTTCCATGACTTCTCCGGCTTCAAGCTCGACGCTTTCTTGTTCCTGCTCCCCCATTTTACTGAATCCGCCGGAGAAGGAAGCGGTAACTACTCTGGAGTGAGTTGTTAATTTAAGAGTGCCCGCCAAAACGTACAAAAGAGCTGCTCTAATGCTAATGGTTAGTGGTAGGGTTGTTCAAGTTACGAACCTAAATATAATGTTTACAAATTATTCATGAATTTTTTTTTTCATAAGTCCTACAAATATATCATTATATTTGTTTTCATCTCACTTTACATTTATAATATATCTTCATTACTTTATCAACTAACATCTATGTTATATTAGAATTCAGAAGTAGAACTTGCAATGGAATAAAGGATTATGATCCATGGGATGTCTTCGTTGATTCGAACCTAGGAAAGATACTTGTAGATTGCATGATTATGTGACAATTTTCTGTTTGATTAGATTGTTGGAATTTATACATTTGAGAGAATCAAAACATAAATTGCATCTTGCATAAAATGTTTTACTATTCTACTTGTTGCATTTTATTCTATTTAATTATTGATAAAATATGTAAAAAAAGAACATATGGACAGAGAATGAGTAAATATGTAAGTTTATTTATAAAGTCTGATAACAAGTTTCAAGTGGCATGATTAATAAACAGTTGAACACCACTATGTGTATACATGCCACCACCTCATTGTAAAAGTCCAAATTACATTTATTTTTCGAAATTGATAATCCCAAATCAGTACACATTGTATATCAAATATCATGAGTTGATGCTTAACCAATTTTCAAACACCATACAAATTGAGGTCACAAATGACTATTTTGCCCATGTGCAATGCTTTTGAAATACATTTCATCTTTGTACTTGGCATATAAAGGAAGTTCAAGTGCATTCTCGGCTCTTTTACCATCTTCATGTATCTTTGCAATTAAGCTTTCAAGCGATGGGAAGTTTGCCTGCCATCATTCCATCAGTATCAGTATCAGTAACAGTGTATCAGTAACAGAGTAAGAAGATGAATTTAGGAGAGTACCTCGGGCCGGATATAGCCAACAACAAGAAGATGCAATTCTTCACCATAGAAATCTTTATCGAACTTATGAAGCAACCATGGCTCCTAAATTTACAAATAAAAGGGGTTAGAAACCGATTGTTTCAAGATTTAACTACGTTTTTTATAAAGTTCCCAAATTGCCCTTACAATTGTCTTCTCGGTGTTATTAAAATACGGGTTCCAACCAATGCTCATAACCATCTTGTAAAAACCATGGTTTGATAATTTGGCCCAACCAAAATATACACCCGCAGGATTTTCAGAAAGGACAGTTGCATATCCTTCTATTGATAAATTAGCTGAAAAACAATAAACATAATTGATTAACCCTAAAAAAAACCGACCAGGGGTAAAGCATGGAAATACATGAAAATTCCAAGGGTAAAATTGGAAACCTGTTGGTATTCCAAGCACCTTTGAGCCACGGCCATAACCCTTGATGACAGGACCACCAATATACCAAGGTTCTAAGGGTAAAGTACCATCTATCCCTGAAATTTTTAAAAAAAATTTAAATTATTGAAAATGGGTGAAATATAAGTGAAGTTTAATGGAATATGGATTAAATTAGTGAGAGAAATTTACAATCTTCAAATGGGGGTAGGCCCCACTTTTCAGGATGTAGGTCAAGAAGTGAAGTGATCACCTCGTCAGCTTCAGTGTAAAGATGTGACTGCTTTGGAAGTGATGGTACAGCCACCACCTCCATATTAGCAGCTTTAGCAGCTGCAATACCTGGTCTGATATGACATGACATAACAAAACAAAACAAAATGGATTAGAATATGTTGTACTGTATTTTTGACATATATTATTAGGACGGGGATTGTGCCCTTGGTCTCTTGTCTGTGTAAAAGACAAAAATGCCCTCCTCATCGAAAATTGTAAAGTTCTTTAACTAAAAGAAAACTCACAGTGAATCTTCAATGACAAGACATTTAGAAGGATCAATGTTTAGCCTTTTACTTGCTTCCAAGAATCTGAAATTGAAAATTATGTAAAAGTCATCTCATTTATATTCTAAACCGGAAAAAAAAAAAAAAAAAAAAAAAAAAAAGTCAACATTTTTATCTCACATTTCAGGAGATGGCTTTCCTGCTTTCACTTCATCACCAGCAACAATTGCTGCAAAGGATTCTTTCCAAGCTGCATGGATAAACCCTTAAGTCAGTTAAACAATTTCAAATAAATAAACAGGAGATTAACAATATATATAAATTCCAACTTACTATCATGATAGCTTATCTTTGTTTCAATGCTAGCTCGTGGAGAGTTAGAAGCCAATGCCATTTTCACTCCATGTCCCCTTAAATGTTTAACCAAACGATATGCACCTGGTAGTGCTTTAAGTTTGCACCATCTAATAATTAGAATAATAAAAAAAAACTAGATTAGTATTTAGTCTAAATAAGTCAAACTTAAAAGGAAAGAGTGAGGCTATTAGTTATTACTGATCAGAGAACATTGGAGAAATTTCTGATAGCAAGTCTTCTTTGGATAAAGGAAGCTCATAATCCTCCACAATAGCAGCTGCAGCTTCTATAGGTGTTTTCCCTATAATCTTATGAGCCTCTCTTCCATCCCATTTCTTCTCATACTTAACCAGATAAACTTTCAAAACTTCACTCACAATGCCATCTGTCGATATAGAGCTTTTTAATTTCCATCAACATATATGCATCACAAAGCAAACAAGGTAATAAATCACCAACTTTCATGGAAGCTTACCTGTATTTACAAGAGTTCCATCCAAGTCAAGGATCACACATGAAACCAGTTTCCTTAGGGAATTCATCATCCAGTTTGTTGTTAGAATCAGAACTCTTCCTGCAGATTTTAGGCTTGCATTTACAAACTTCTGCAATACCAATAGAGCTTAGTTTAGATGTGTGTGAAACTTTAAGCAGGTTAAAAGGAAAAAGAAAGCATAAAAGGGAATGGATCAATTGTGATTCAAACAGTTTATGAAAAATTGTACAGTATCATCATATTGAAACTGGTTCTAAAGAATCATATATATTTGAGTTCATTTATAATGCAAACATAATCAATCTAAGAAGTAAAAAGAGGTGCTTCGAGTTCATGCCTGCACAATTTGCATTCAGGCATTTCATCAAACATCTGTTTCTCATGATATCGGGCATGAAGATTACAAAAAAAAAAAAAAGGAACAAACTGAAATCGAGCAATTATTTGCAAGATAATCAAAATTTAAATGTTCAATCTAGATATGAAGTAATTCGTACCTTCGAATTGAAACTAGTTTGCAAATTGACAACAAAGAACTACGACCGACACATCTGCTGCATAAAGTTTCAGATACAACGATTATAGAAAATTGATGACAAACGGCGGCGGAAACATCAGTCGCCGGACTAGACGACGGTCACGACGGCGAATTGTTTGTGGTTTTGTTCGACTGATAAATCAAAGCGCTACCAGAGAGAACATCCGCGGCTAGTTTTGTAGCACTAATAACCAAAGAGTTTTCTATGTTTTCATTTTTAGCCCTTTAAGTTTTATTTTTCTACTTTTTCATTTTTTATCTTAGAAATATTTTTATATCAAAAATATATATAAACAACAATAAAATAATAAACATGAAAATAACTAAAGAAACATTATAAATTATAAGATTAAGAAATTAAATAATAAATTACCATGAAATTACAAGATAGATTAAAGATACAATTCCTAAAGTATTTAACAAGATATATAATTGACATGGCATGAATCTTGATAATTTGAATACATACATATTTTTATTATGTATCGAAGTATTTGATATGGCATGAATCTTGCTATTACATCATTATAAATCATGGATACTTTTAAAATATCAGATATATTTTTTTAAGGACTGTTAGTTATTATTATTATTTTTTAAAGTTTGTTATATTTTTAGGTTAATTAATAGCATGCTATGTTGATAACTTGTATATGTTCACTCTTTGTTGTTGTTAATTGTATTATTTTTTTCATTATCTTTATATCTATTTTAGATTGTGAAGTTAAATCGTTAAACAATATACATTTATCAATATCTTTTACCCATGTTTTTTATCCACAAATCGTGTACATTCATTTGTTTATTAACTATTCGCAACTGTTTTGAAAACTGGACCGGACCGGCCGGCAGTTGAACCAGGAACGAGAAGAGCGGTTTAATTGGCCTAAAAAACCGCTTGTTTCTGAACCAGTAAAAAACAGCCGGTTTAGTCAAAAACCGGTCAGAACCGTTTTGGTTGAACCAGTAAAAACCAGATTTAAAAATTTTTAACTTAAAAAATAACCACCAAGTATGGAGCCCACTAAGTAAGGAACGTCAAGTATAGTCACTGTAGGCCCTTTTGTTTGGGTAGTGTATCGGTGCCGAGAACAAAGGGCAGGAGAAGTTTATATAACCAAAGAACATCTTCATACTTTTTACTCTTGGCCGATGTGGGATAACTTTCCACTCCTTTTTATCTTTTTACATAGCATTTCTTTTCATTTCAATTTTTATGCTGTTTTATGATAAAATTAAACCTCTCATATTTTATTTTAACTTGAACTCTTAAGACTTTATTTGTTTCAAAAAATCCCACGTGATTATATATATATATATATATATATATATATATATATATATATATATATATATATATATATATATATATATATATATATATCCGGTTTTTCCGGTTATGGGGCCGGTCCAACCGGTCGAACCAATTGAACCATCGAACCATTAAGACAACCGGTTCGATGTCCGGTCCGATTTTCAAAACATTGTTATTCGCTTATTTATATACTAGCATTTACGGTCGGTCCAAAGGTATTTAATACCCAAAACAAAAATATTTAATGATACCCCCAAGATTGTATCATAAAACTACAAAAAAAAACTCATATTTGTAATATATATATATATATATATATATATATATATATATATATATATATTCTAATAAACAAAATCTAATATTAACACTAGTCTCACCTGATATGATTCTAATTTTCTCTAATAGATCCCCCTTCTTAATAAAAGACCTTTTAATCTACATGTTATTCATCTCCTTGCAAATTTCGCCAATATGATTTTACCATGTTGCCCTTCCTTTATATATATATATATATATATATATATATATATATATATATATATATATATATATATATATTTCTTACGCTTTTAAATAA